ATAACTTACATCCACTAGGTAAAATACTATGCCATCTTTTATTTTTTAATTTAATTTTATTTTCAAGTTTTTCTTCTTTTTTACACCATCTTTTAACATGTTAAAGATGGAGCTAGACCATAAATACATAGAAAAAAATCAAAGAAAATAATGTTATGAACAATGTTGCATGAAAAATAAGATCTCTACCATATTCAGAGTGACCAACATCCTTTAAATAAGACACATACATATGAACAAAGTTATAAGCATTCATAGAGATATCTCAATGATTGCATTTGAGTGAGGAGGTCATGGGATAAACCTTCTGCAAAGTTGTTTATAATAATAAAAAAAAATTTTTTAAAGGAAACCAAGCAAGCCAAGTGTCCCAGAACACTGCATGTGTTTTCTGGCACCACTTCATGTTTTTCTGGTTTCTCTTCTTAAAGTCACCAGTTATCCACCCTCAGATTGGACAGCTTTTGAGATGACTTGCCCTGGTTAGGCTGTGATCTCTGGAAAATTCCAGAGGGATCTGCTTTTGGGCCTTGCAGCCCCTTTCTATCTCAATACACTAAATACCAAGAGTTGTATTGTGAACTGGACCAAGGGATGGAAGGAGAGGGAGGAATAGGAGGGGAAAGGGAGTAAAAAGAAGTAAGATAAGTTATGTACAAGGACCAGCTTCCCACCAGGAATGCAGTCATTATGTGCTGCAAGCATGTACTAAAAAAAAATGTTTCAAAAGATAAAATTCAAAAGAACTTCCAGTTCATGGTGCTTAGCACTATGACTGTTTGTCAGTGATTCTCTAGCTGTGCTCTGGGGAGGACTCCCTGCCATGCGTGAACATCTGGAACGGGCACCCCTGCACTGTTGCAGCGCACGCCAACCCTCACAGGTCCCTGTCGGGATCAAGAGGCCCCATCTGGGTCCCAATGAGGAAAATTTATTCCTTCCATGAGGCCCTGGTCGTGGTGACTTCATCCTTCCCGAGGTCATCAGGTTTTAGAAAACAAGGGTGAACCAGCTCTCCTCATGCAGTTCCCCTCATTTCCACCTCCACTCTTTCCCACTAACACAGGCAGCCAAATGGCACCCTGGGAGGTTGGCCATGCCTCCCGGTTCATCATGATATTCAGGAGTTAACCTTTCCAAGTAGATGAAGCTAAAATAATTGGCAACTTCACTATTAAAATAAAATTTCTCCCCCAGCCTCCTGCTTAATTCTAGAAATTAAAGAAATAGAGCTGACAAACAGTAATTTTTTTGTACCAGGGAAAAAGAATACAGAAGGTTCTCACTCTATTTCAGACCTCAGACAGGGTTTGAAGCATCCAGCTGTCTTCATTTGCAAAGCATCAAATATTTTCATATTCCTCCAATGGGGCCACTGAACAAGTGAATGAAATGATGTGAATGAAATACAATGCAACTATTTTTAGTATGGTAGTTGTAATTAAAAGGCAATGGAATAATAATCTTGCCCAAGCATGTCTGAGATCTCCTTTGCAGTTCCTCAAAACAATACTTTCTATGTCTGGCTGCAGAGACTTGTTGCTTGTTTTCCTTCTGGTGAAAAATAGGTAACACTTGACATTCTTTCTAAACCAAATGAATGGCACATCTGAAATTGTGGTTTTGGCTAGACATAATCCTCCTTCCTTCTCCATGTCTTCACTTACACAAGCAGGGGGATGGAATTTCTTTGCCATATATAGTGGTAAGTTACCATGGGCCAAAAAGATTTCCTAGGTGAGTAACTCTATTACCTGTCTGTCCATCTAATTTTTAAGTTTACAGTAATTTGTTACTGTTGTTTAAAAAAGAAGCAAGAGGACTGGGGCTTGTGGTTCAATAGTGGAGCGTTTGCCTAGCAAGTGTGACACCTTCCATTCAATCCCCTGCTCTGAAGAGAGAGAGAGAGAGAGAGAGAGAGACACCCTAATGTTATTGTTTGTATCTAGATGTCTCCCCAAAGCCTCACACACTCATAGGTGGGGCTTTTTGGAGGTGGCTGAATCTAGGATGTGTGATAACTAAATTGATTTAGCATAGTTCTGGGTGTGTATAATGGAAGGCCCTTCCTAGCTGAGGATGGCACCAGCCAAATAGGCTTGTAGCCTGGAGGGAATATTAAGAAAAGAAAGCAGGATTATCAGAGGAGGGCAGTCAATCCTCCAGACGCCTAGACAGGGGGACAGCAAGGGCCAAAGAAAGAAAAGACAATAGAGACTTTCATATTTCCACAGTACATGGGGGACCAGGAGGTCAGTGCCTCAGAATAGGCAAAGACAGACACCCTGAGCTAGCCATTATTTATTGGGTATACCCAATAATTGGAGGGAGTATCAGGTGACTTAGGCAGACAGCAATAATCGTATGTTGATGAAGATCTTATGCTGATGAGGATCTTAGGTCATGAGGATTTTATGTTGATGAAGGTGATAAGGAGAGCATTCTTTCAATAGTAGGTGGGCCAAAAAAAAAAAAAAATAGTAGGTGGGGCAAGATAGCAGGCTAATAAAAAACTTGTCCTTCCCTCGGGTGAAAACCTTCTCTTTTTTTATTACCTCTCAGTTCTTGAAGAACCAGGATGTCTTCAGCTACTGTACACTTGCCCTTGAGCATCACAGTATCATGGGACCATTTAGGCCTCAACTTGCGACTGGAGGCAAAATGGAGTTATGTTTCCGCATGCCATAGCCCGCAAGAGGACATTGGGCCTTAGACAGCTGTAGTCTTACTTTAATTATGAAATGATTTTTCCCCCAAATTTATGTAGAATGACTCTTGACATAGGATCACTGCTTGCTGCTTCCTGCCTCCCTTGCCATGGACTGTTCTCCTCAGCCATGCCCTCTGTCATGCCACCCTGCCTTGGAGACAGTGACTGTGGACTGAAACCTGTACAAACTGTGAGTTAAAATAATCCTTATATCCTTTAGGTGTTGAGTATTTTGTCTCAGTAATGAGAAAAGTAACTAAGAAACCTAATAATAGTAGCAATAGCAATAACTAACCCTTCTATGGTGTTTACCATATGCCACACACAACAATACAACACATCAACTCAACCCAACAGAATTGACACAACTCTGGAACCAGTTTCTTATTCTAATTTTATAGACAAGGAAATTAATGCCTGGAGAAAGTAAATGACTGCCCCAAGTCTCTGCAAGTAAATGACAGATCCAGAATCCAGCCTGAGTTGGCTCTTAACACATACTCACCACCTTAAACTAATGGTGGTGCATGCATAACCACCCCATCAGGCAACATGGGACAGTTCCATTGGGTGGTACAAGTCACCAAATGGGATGGTCATGCATGTATGGCCCCACGGTGAACTTGTTAACCCATGTATTGTCTTTGAAGCATCACCCCTGGGATGCAAGCATCATTCCCACGTTATGGATGAGGCCACGGAGGCTCAGGGAAGTAAAGTTATTTGTTCAATATCACAAAGCTGAGGCAGGATTCAATCAGGTTTTAGGTATTTGGGGGGTCTAGTGTTTTATTCTTTTTCCATCTTTGAGAGTGCTATCTAATAATACCTTTCATTAGTAGGAACAAAAATACAGTACTTTTCATTCCTTCTGTTCTTTTACCTACACCATGGGTTAATTAGATTTGTGTTACTGTGAAAATGTGTCATTGAAAATAACTTTTTTCCCCCATTAGAAAGTGTTTTCAAGCTTTCAAAAGATCACCTTATAAATGGTTGTTTCTAATTCATTACATTTGAAAGTTATGGATTAATCAAGATTAGAAAATAGGACGTAGTTCTAAAATATTAGGTATGACATTGACTTTTCCACAAGAAAGGAAAGGATCTATCAGGTTGGATGAGCTGGAAGAATACATTTTCTCTAAAACAAAAACAAGAACCCGAAGAATAGAAAAATGAAAACAATCCCCTTTAGAACAATCTCACTTTAACATTTTAATGTTTTTCTTTGTTAGACTAACCATGCTTCATGCTGGCAGTTTTCCTGTGTAAAGCAAGCAGCAAGAGACCATTAATTGGAGTGCAGAAGCTTTTGTTTGTGTGTGTGTGTGTGTGTGTGTGTATGTGTGTGTGTCTTTTCCCCTGGAAAGTGTCCCTCTCCAAGTCTCTGTTTGCAGGATGGTCCTCAATGCACACTTGAGCACACTCACTGGGCAGAGTGCACACAACAGGCTCATCTTGAGGACAAATCTGAAGATAAAACCCTGTTGAATACAACCACTCAAACTTGCTTATCATAGAGCCCCACACGAACAACATTTCGCTTGGATTGCTTTGTGCAGATGAAGACCCCAAAGTCCTCATGTTTGTTTGTTTTTTCTGGCTCAGAAAATCTGAAGCAGAAGTGTGATTTCCATTAATGAGGATTTTGCTGTGCTTCAAAATTTGCTTTCATTCCATTTCCTGTGCACTCCTGTTTGTGAGCCCAATTCGGCAATGACCGAGTCCTGCTTGCTTTGTCCTGCCTAGGTCATTAGAACTTGACTCACCAACAGTGTTCTTCCTCTCCTGAGGGTGTAGCTCAGCTAAAATACATCCATCCTTTAAAACAGCTTCAATTTTAAGACGAGACATTTTAAGTACTCTTTAAGAAAATACATTTGAGGATCTATTGGTAAAGGAATTATTCATGAAATTATATGTTAAAATGAGCTAGAAGTGTGTTTGAATATTTCCTTCACAAAATATAGATTTTAAAAAGTATAGGGCTCCAGATCTAAGAATTCCTAGTACTTTACATTAAAATGATTTCAAATCTAATAACTGTCACTAACATTAATGGAAACGCTGTGTATTATATAATACCTGGATTCAGCCCAGGGAGCAATGACCCCTTACTTTTTTACTTTGAGACAGGGTCTCCCTAAGTTGACCAGGCAAGGCTTGAATCTGCCTCAGCTCCCCAGGCAGCTGGGGTTACAGGCATGTGCCAGCACACCCAGCCACATTTAGTTTTTACAGATGCGTTGTTCAACAGAGCCTTGCTATTATCTTTTTCTCTTACTTACCATCTTCTGGCCACACTTCTCATAGAAAGTTGTCTGTGTCTGTGGGCTTGGGTTACTCATTCTGAAATCCTTCATTGTGAAATCCTACCTGTTTCCTGGAATAAGAGTTTTTAAAATGTAAATGACATCCCAGACAACAATTCGAATGGCTTCAGAACAACACAAAGTTTAGCACTGGAAAAATAATGACTGAAGTTAATTCGGCATGTATTAAGTGAGCTGCAGAATGGTATTTTGCTGCTTAGTCTTGGGACATAAATATTAAGCAAGCATTATAAATAGCTTTCATTGACAGTATTACTTTTACCAAGCCCAGTCAATTTCCATTTTTCAGAATGGGGATGTAGTTCAGTGACAAAATGCTTGCCTTGCATATGGAAGGCCCTGAGCTCAATCCCTAGCAATGCAAAAATGAATAAATAAACGCTGTATTTTATCAAAAATTGAACTTTATGTAATATTTTCTATGTACCAAGCACCGTTTTATACTTACTATTTCTTTTAGTCCTTACATACACACAAAGATTGTTGTCTTTATTTTACTAACAACGAGAGGGAAGCTCAGAACGACTGAATAATTTAACCAAGATTATTACCTGGCTAATGTACAGCAAAGAGCTGAATCCATCTTTGTCAGACAAGAAAGCACTCACCCCCAGTTCTCAGTGTCTACACACAGTATCAATTTTGATTGCTTTTCCTGCCACCACATATTTTAATACTCATTAAACACTTTCATTTATCCAATCAGTTAGTCTGGCAGTCAATAAACATTTAAGTCTTAAATGAAATGCTGAGAGGGATGACACAATCCCAATAGTCAAAGCATCCATGGTCCAGGGAAGAATATAAGTCAATAAGCAAATTCCTAGTCCAGTAGGGAACACAGGGCAATAAGCGAATTCAGAGTTCAGGAAGATCATTATCATAATAAAGAGATGCATTCGGTATTGTGGGAGTGGGGAATGGCCAGCATCTGCCTAGGGATGGGAGGAAAGCCATCAGAAAATGGCTTAGATTTGGAAGGTGCCTCGAAGGACAGGGACCAAGGCACCTTTGGAAGCTAGGCTCAGTAAGCCTCCCAATCCCCTGTCCCTCCATTCCCCTCCTCCCTGATAGGCAGTTCCGGTGGTTCTCAAAGTGTGGCCCTGGAACCTGGAGGACACGGGAACTCAGAAATGCAAATTGCTAGCACCTCCTTCCTATTCACAGAGTCAGAAACTTGGGAGGGGGGCTCAGCCACCTGTGTTAAATGGGCTTCCCAAGGGATTCTGCCAATGTCATTCTGCTGAATTCCTGTTCAGAATGGGAGGGCACAAAAGCGAGTGGCCATGGGAGGGAAAGAGAAGGAACACTTCTGAAGCATTGAGAGTGTGTAAGAGGCTGCTAAGAGACTTCCCAGTGTCTTCGCAGGACAAACCAGGGACCTCCAGCTCCGCAGTGCTGTCTTTCGACTCTTTCCTTCTGAACACACTCCCTGAGGAACACCACCAGCGGCAAAAGGCAGGGAAAACTCCATTACCTTTGCAGTTTTGCTTACCATCATTGCCATTCTCTTTGCACATTGGTTCGTTAATTTTAATTGGCAGGACTGTGCTAAGAGGTCTCGCCAACCTGCTGGCTATGTGTGCTTGGGCATCTTACACCATTGCCTGTCTGATCTCCTCTTTGGAACCCTCTCTTTGTCTCCATTGGCTGTGACCTCACACCATCTGCCTGATGTGCTTCTCATTCACTGACCCTGAATCAATCCTTCCTTCTTCTCTCCCTCTTTCCCTTCCCCTTCCTTTCTTCCATCCTCACCTTCCTCCCTTCCTCTTCCTCTTTCCACACATCTGCCCCCACTACTTGCTGTAGGGTGTCCATTGAGCACTTACTAAGTGCCAGGCTGAAACCCATAGTCTATCTAGAAAGGCAGAAATAGCCACAAGGAAGCAGTTAGCCTAACTAGCCCTTATGTCGAGTAGAATGGATTAAATACACATGGGGGTGCATGGCGAATAATGGCAGGGCCCTCCAGGAAGGGCTTCTCTGAGGAGATGGTGGTAAACTGAGGCCCAAGATGTGCAGTGGATGAAGGAGGTGGGTGGGAGTGGGCTGCCCACTAAGGCCTCATGGGAGGGTCAGAGCCTAATGAGCTGGTGGGGACTGGGGAGCCAGGCTGGAAGTGGGCAGGGGCTGATCAAGAGGAGCCACGAAGATCCATGCTAAATGCTTTGGAAGCATTGGAGGGATTCAAGTGGGGAAGGCCTAATCCAATCTGTACTTCATAGGAAGTGTGGAGTAGACAGTGATCTTTGCAGCTATTTCTGGAGAAAAGGTTGGAAAATGGAGAAACCTGTCCATTTACCTTTCTGTCTCAATGTCGTCCTGGTAGAAAGTCCTCCTCCTTTGGACTGATTCTTCCTTTCATTCCAAAGGGTGAGAGGAACATTCTGCAGCAGTCACCAGCCTTGTCTCCAAAAGAGGGTCTTGGCCATTGCTGATGGGCACTAATAACAACACAAGTCATAGTGAGGCTCACTGAATGTGACTGTGTGCACGCATTATGAATATTCACATCTATGCTTTAATGATCAACAATCTTATTGGGCTGTGTTAATATCTATTTCACAGGTAAGGACAGAGAGGTTAATGAACTTGCCCAATGTCACACAGCTGCTAGGACAGAAAAGAACGAAGAGATTATTTCCAAATAAACACCAGCAGGTTTTGGTTGGTTTCCTGTCCTCCTTTTGGCATGGGGTTTCCTTCATATTGGCCCTGCTGAAAAGCTGTCAGGTACCCGAATCCTAGGAAGGGCCTGGTCCTCTCTGAAAAGAGTTTAGAAATAGGGAGATGGAGCCACTTCCTTGCCATTTCTGTTACAGGAAGAGAAGGCAGCAGTGTTCTGGCTGCAAAGGGAGCCACACCCATTGTGGGTGAAGGAGGCAGCGAGTTCTCCTCACAGCTTAGAAGGACAGCCAAAAACAGCAGGAAGAGAACAAGGACAGGTTGCCTTCACCTACCAGCAACCAAACAAGAAAGGAGAAATCCGGTTGTTCATTCGTCCTTTTGTGGTTCCTTAAGAGACATTGTTTGGGCTTCCTCTGTAACATAAATGATGGCTTCAGCAGCAAAACTAAATCACAACAAAACGATACTCTGGTGTCATTTTATAATCCTGCATAAAAGCTAGAGGAATTCGAAGTTCTAAACACTACAACACCAAAGGCAATTTTCCAAGCAGGGCTAGGCCACTCTAACTGTTGAATAGGAAAACTAATTAGCCTCCTCTGTGAACTATCTTGTCTTTTTTTAGGACCGGAAATCAAAAGGGAAGGGTTCCCTCCTGATCCAAGCAAGTTCCAGAGGAATTACTCACGCTCCTTAACCTATGAGTCACACAGGAGTCTAGGACAGTGTTTCCAAAACAGGCAGACAATAGGATAAACAAAGCAATTGATATGTGACAGTCAGTGGCTGGGCTGCCACCTGCCAAGGCCAGGGGTTGCATCTAGAGCTGAAAGATGGTGAACCGGAACCCACTGGGTGTCCCCGAGGAATCTGTGGATGGCCAGAGCTCTGCAGAACAACTAGGAACATTTCCTGAAAGTAACTGGCCACGAGGAGGTTTGTGTCCAGAGCCTCTATTCAATTTCATTGACTTCCCTTGTGCAATTATAGCATCTCTCCCCCCAGGTGACTCCAGGGACTTGCCTGCCATCGCACTGCCATGCCTGCCTCTCCAATACCTTGGCCAGCCAGGCACTTTGACACCGAACAACACAGGATATTAATCACTTTGGGACTCTGGGCCTGTTCCCAGGGTCCACTGTTGAGCCAGAAAAAATAACTCCTGAGTGTCAGAGGCTTTCCCAGAATGAAATATAGAGTAAGGGAGAAAGCACAACTTAGGAAGTCACCCAGCTGAGAGCTGGTGCTCTCCTGGGCAGGTGACAGCTGTGCTTTCTCAGTGCTCCCTCTTGAAGGAGTTTGAAGCCAGGTCTCAGCTCGCTCTGAGCTCTAAGCCCCCAGGCATCTCCTAGGCAGGGTTCTGGGGTGAGCAGGAGGACACACCCTCCCCTGCCAGCCTCTGCATCCCTAGAAAAAACAGCAGGGTGGATTGCAGGGTCCACTCTGAGCTGGAGGAAGAGCCAGGATGAAAGTTTTCCTCTACCCCTCTTAAACCCACGGAGGTTAAGAGCCCAGGCCGGGGAGGGTACGGTGGGGGAAGAACTGGAGGGTCCCAAAGAATCCTGTCTGGGCTGCCTGCTGTCTGTCCCACACGCAGCTCTGGTCTCCTCCCCAGATCCCCTGGGCCGCTCCTAGCACACAACACCTGCAGAAATCCCAGAGTTACTCCAGGGCCACACAGGGCCCGTCACTCTGTGACGCTCTAACTAACTTTCAGCCCCATCAGCAGCCACTCCCTGACCCTCTAACCACACTTGCCTGCTCATTATTTCCTGAAAGCATTGCATCCTTTCAGCTCTGCATCCTTCATTCACGCTCTTCCTTCCCTCTGGAAGACTGTGCCCCGCCCCACCGCTCCCTTCCGTCCGGGTCGCCATCCCTTCTGAGCAGGCTCAGTGCGTGGCTCCTAGGCACCGTACCTGCCTTGCCTGGGGTTGTCCACGGGCTCAGCCTTCCCGCTTGGGAGCTCCGCGAGAGCAGGCAGAGTGTGCTCCCTCTTAGACTTTTGGAAAATCTGAGGCCTGGGAAAATCTGAGGCCTGAGTCAAAGGAGGGCTGCACTTCAGCCACTCTGCTCCTTACAATTCGGCTCATGCCCAAGAGTCTAAAAGAACCGCATCGCCCCATGGCAGCCTTTGGGCTCTCCTTCCTTGCAGCTTTTGCATTTCAGGGTGACTTTCAGTCATATTCAGCTGGTGCCACATGATTTGCAGTGTTCGATTTCAAACGGGTGGCCATTTTGGGGTCCACTGATTTCTAGGTCTCACTTTTTTTTTTTGGTACCAGGGATTGAACTTGGGTCCTTGTGCTTGCTTAGCAGGCAGCGAAACCACTAAGCTAAATTCCCGGCCCTACATGTCTCACTTTTGAAGGTCAGGACAGATAACCGTGTGTCTGTATTGTGCTCTACCCCTCCTCACTTTCCTAATGATACAGGAAGGAGGCTTGGGGTACTAGGGTTAGTATGCGATCATTTTAGCACCACATGCTGCAGCAAGCACCCGTCATTAAGTCCTTCCGGGAGGGCACCCTGGGCCCTCAGCAGGGCTGGGTGCTGAAGGGAAGCCCACAAGGCCGATTCGTGGTGGTGCTTTGGGAAATGTAGCACTCCCTCTCCTTCCTCACTGGTTTCACATGCTGTCGCTCTGCCTAGAAAGCCTTGGCCTTCATGCCAGCCCCCACTAACCCTCAGGTTTCAGTATCCACAGAACTGCTGGGAGAGGCCTGCCCGCACCAGTCTCCCCGCCTTCTCATGGCAGTATGGTCAGAATTTGCTTCAAAGTCCTTGTCAACTATTTAATGTAATATTTTTGCATGTCTCTCCCATTACACTGAAAGCAGTTTGAAAGGAAGAGGATTTGAGTTTCGTTTCATATCACATAGTAGATGATCAATAAACACACTTGAATAAATGAACACACTCTTTTATGTCAACATTTTGCTTAGAACTTGGAGGAGTTGATTTTATCAACGTGGTGACTTTTCCTGTCTGCTCGGCTCCCGGTTGTTTCCCTGACAGGTGTCCTGAACTGGCTCCCCAGGTGCCCACCTCTGTCAGCCTGGAGATGGCTTTACCCTCATTTCCACTTACCCCATTCCTGTTCACTTGTAGCACTTTTCCCACATCACTGCCATTGTGACACCTCCCTGGGATGTTCATTTCTGGGCTCTTAAAGCACTTCAATTTCATTCCACATTTTCTCATGTTTGTTTCTTTTATTACCAGGATTAGAAAGTGCTGCCAGGAAACCACAAGTAAACACACTAACGGTGTATAAGTAAAAAGTGAAAACCTTCCTCCTCATTCTTAGGGCAACCACACAACCACTGGGTCTTTTTCTTTGGAAATATACACCAAGTGTTTTCTTTTACATTAAAAAAGGAGCAGTTGTGGAATTTTAGAAAAAAGTCATATAATAATACTGTCTAGGGACTTGTTTTCCAATTATCACTTCTTGTTTTTCTATTCATATCAGAAGAGAGCAACTTTGATTTTTCAGTGACTGAATATTAGTCCATTGTGAGCTCATAACATTATTTAAAACTCATTTTCTTGATGGCTAGTTGGGTAGCTTCTATTTTTTAAAATTTCAAGAAATGCCAGGATAAAGTCCCCTTATACGTCTGAGTGGGTATTTCTCTGGGAGACATCCTAAAAGTGGAGCTGTTGGACCAAATGGCATTCCATTTTGTATTGTGATAGCTCCAGCCTGATCTCCTAAAAAGCAGTGCTCATTTACACTCCCACCCACAGTGCTTACGGGCATCTGAGGCTGCACAGCCATGACAGGGTGTTATTGCTGCATTTAATCTTCATCTCATTGGGCAAAAACTTTCCTGGCTTCAAGTGTTGAGATCGAATAGTGGTTCATATTTAAATCAGCACACATGGCCTTCATCTGAGAACTCTTACTGATATTTATTGTTTACTTTTCCATTGGAGTGTTTAAATTCATTATTACTCAATGGAGTGGCTTTTAAGGACACTTGTGACCAAAAATGAACATTTGTGCTAAAATGCACATAATAAAAAATATACCCTCAGAGCCGATCTCAAGGGTATGGTTCAGTAGCACGAAGGGAGCGATCGTTGCCACTAGCCAGCTCCAGGACTCTTCTTGTCTTGCACAGCTGGAACTCTGTGCCCAGGAGACAATAACCACTCTTTCCCTGATTCCTCAGCCCCTGGCAACCCCCATTCTATTTTCCATCTGTATGAATTTGACTACTGTCATGGCTTTTCAAACAGTAAGCATGTACACGTCCAGAGAGGCTGAACGTGTTTTTCCGGAATTTTAGCTTGCCCCTTCATTTAATAATGTCTCTTTGTTATACTGAAGGTGTACATTCTTTGCAGTTTCCAAGTTTTATTTATTTATTTGCTTATTTTGAAGATCATTTTTAAATAAATTCATTCATTCATTCATTCATCTGACAGGGTCTCACTAAGTTATCCAGGCTGGGTTTGAATTTACAATCTTCTTGCCTCAGCCTTCCAGACTGCCGGGATTACAGGCATGTGCCACCACTCCTAGCTAGAAGCTTCATGTTCTTCCTTCAGTAGATATGAATATCGTTTGTGTTATGGCACCATTTTATGTTTAGGAACCATTCATTTATGTTTTAAGCCCTTCTTCACCCACAGGTGGGAATGGTCGTGATACCTGCCTCAAAGGGATTTGTCCAGAGGATTAACTGGTGTGGTGAATGTGTGGCATAAGGAATGAACCCAGGATCTTTACACTGAGCTAATTCCCCAGCCCTTTTAAAAGTTTTTATCTTGAGTTTGGGTCATGCTAGATCATTAAGTTGCCCAGGCTGGGCTCAAACTTGACATCCTCCTGCCTCAGCCTCCTGAGTCACTGAGATTACGAACGTGCACTGCTACACTCAGCTTCCCCTCTCTTCAAGTGCTTTGCCCCACCAGCAATCTCTTCCTCATTTATGAATATCTCGTCTTTTCCTTTGGCTAGTTTTTCCTTGACTTATAAAAAGGTGAAATTCTCTTTCATTCCAGGAACTCTCCTCTCTGTAACTCTGCTGACATCCCCCTTACCTCTTTATTACCCAGTCCCTTGAGAAAGTTGACTACACTAGCTGATTCTACTTCCCTCCCACACACCTTCTCACATTGCCTTCGCCCTTACCACCTCTTCCCCCTCCTGCTAACCAAATATTTCAATTGGTTTTCTAAAGCCACAGTCACTGAGCCCCTTGGACTCCATGGCTTTTCTTTCTGCAGCCTGCCACACTCAGCTGCAGTGTGGGAAGGTGCCAGAGTTCTGCTTCCATTTGAAAGATCCATCTTGTCTTCCTGTACCTACACATTTTTTGTTCCTTTTCTTTTCTTGCTACTGGTTCAGTTCATCCATTCAACATGCTTTTACTGAGCATCTACTATGAGCCATAATGATGCTAGGTGCTAGGCACAGAGTGATGAGCAACACAGGCATGGTCACTGGCCCACTGGCCCCTTCCACTTAGGGTCTAAGAGAGCAGACATCAAACAGTCGCATCATGAGCCACCTGCTCTATGCACACCTGTGCATGTGTTTGCATTTATTTACAGAGTGTTGTAAAAGCATGTAGTAGGGAGGAACACTGGGGGGAAGGAAGCCAACCCAAGGAAGGACAGTTTAAGGAAGTGATATTTAAGCTGAGATCTGCAAGATAAATAAGTGTTAGCTGGATGAGGAGTGGCAGCGTTTGGAGAGGTGACTTCCAGGAAAAGGAAGGAAAACTGTGAAGGCAACAGTGAGAAGGAGCTGGGCAATTTTAGGAAACCCGAAGAGGCCAGTGTGGCTGGAGTGAAGGGGAAAGGGGTGGGGTGGTGAGGTCAGAGCCATGGACCAAAGGCTCAGTCATTCAGGGTCTTGTGGAGGATGTGGACAGCATTTGGGACTTACTCCCAGGAGCAATGGACTGCTATCGAAAACTCCCCTTCCTGCTGGGGATGTAGCTTGGTGGTGAGCACTTGCTTGGCAAGCACAAGGTCCTGAGTTCAATTCACAGTATGAAGAAAAAAAGAGAGAGAGAGAGAGAGAGAAAGAAAGAAAGAAAGAAAGAAAGAAAGAAAGAAAGAAAGAAAGAAAGAAAGAAAGAAAACAAACCCAAAAAACCTCCTCTTCCTTCCTGTCTCCTCTTTTGGGATGTGCCTCATACCTGGATCTTCAGCAGGGCTAAGTAATCACCTGTCTGGGTTGGACTCCTGAAGCCTAACACCCCTCCATACCTGTCCATTTCCCAGCTATGCCAGGAACATCCCCTGGGGGCGCAGACTGGCATCTCAAATGTAAATGTTGACGGCTCACCTTGGTTTCCTCTTCAAAATCCTTCCTGCTTGTGTGTTTTCTACCTTGGCCAGGTCCACTGGTTTCCCATTTATGAAGACTAGAAATTCTTGGGTCTCCTTGACTTCCACATTCATCCCGAGGATACAGCAAGGACTAAATCCGAAGGAACTTGGATTCTAGTAGGGCGACTGAGAATCAACACAGAACAGTTAGGAAGGGTTTGGATTTTAACTCTGTTGTGTGCAGCTTCTTAGTCTTTAGAATCATTCACCTCTTCCTTATATAGGGAAAGGAGTAAATGCGAAAACACCAGTGGAAGCTCCCAGTACATTGAAAATGACCAATAAAGATCCCTTCTTTCCTCTTATAGACAAAACCTTGCACTCATTCTTTGTAGTCCCTTCCTTTCTCTCGACTTACAAGGACCATTCTATTACATCTTGTATTTAAGAGAAGTGCTTAGTGTACATGTGAATACTGACATCATTTTTTTAAATGCCCTACGTGAAATAAGAAACACTCTGGTAGAATTCAACTAGCCTTGTAGTGAGACTCTTTTCCTGGCTATAAAGTGCAATAAATAGTTTACTCCCTTGGAAAAAAAATATTATAACTCTGGTTAGAAATTGACAGATACTATTAAAAAAATAATAAAGTGGCCAGAAGGTGACAGGGTGAGGATGCTGCCAGTTTTCACCAGGGAAGATCTGTTTGAGGAAGATCTCATTTGAACAGAGAGGCCAGCATGAGAGGTGGGATCAAGCTAGGCCAGGCAGAGGGAGCCTGAGACACAAAAGGCCTGTACTTGAGGAACAGTAGAGGTGAGTAGCCAGAATGCATCCAGGGACAGGTTGATCCCAAGAGAGAAGGCCAGAGACTGTGCTATAAGGAGCAGAGACAGCTTTGGGCTCAGCTCTGGGTGTGAGGAGAAGCCATTGCAGGGTTCCGATGAGAGAAGGGACACAATCTGATACAGCGCTCACAGGGCCCCTCTGGTTGCTGTGTGAAGAAATGAATGTGTCACGTGACAGTGACCCAAGTCATCTTCACATCTTCACAGGCTCTTGTCCACCCCCATCGGCCTGCCCCCCTCACCTGCTGCCATAGGCCCACCTCATCTATGTCATCCCTGGGTTATTACTGTGGTTTCATAAATGATCTTCCTGCCCCCTGCTGGGTTGGTCTTCTAGCCACACAAATATGAGCAATCTGGAGCAGGAAGGCTGCTCAAGGCTCAGCTGCTGTCTACCCATGGGAGTTGGATGAAGCTTCTTTAGCTGTGTATTTAAGGCCTTGCTGGCTTCCTGACCTCATCTCTCACTGCTGCCTTTCAAGCTGCAGTCACAGTGGATGACTCACTTTCCTACAGGTCTCAGTCACTTTTCTTATTGCTGGGACAAAAATAGCTGATACCCACAATTTAAGGAAAGGTTTATTTTGGCTCACAGTTTGTAGAGGTTGCAGTCCGTAGTGCACTGGTGGCATGGCAGGGGGGCATGGTAGAAGAGAGCTGCTCACAGCTTGGCAGATAGGAAGCAGGAGGTCAGGGGAAGAGATAGGAGATAAATCTTTCCAGGCCATGCCCCACAGGGACCCACCTCTTCTGACTGGACCCATCTTCTAGTAGCAGAGCAACTGTAGCACCCCATAATCCAATCACCTTCCAAAAGCGCTGTCTATGAGCAAATGAGGCTCTTGAGTGGTGTCCAGATATAAACCGTAACCAAAACGCCACATAAGTTTCTGCCCTCCCCCTGTCACCCTTTCCCCCAAGCCACCCTCTTCCTGTAAAGCCTTCTCTTGCCATCCTTCATCTCTATAAGACCAGATTTCCCTTGTCTCTTGATCCCCTTGGGCAAAAGGGATTCTTCC